TCAAAAAAATCACAATACAAAAGTGTACTTAAACTTAACACCAAAAATTATGTCAACTGAACTTAGCCAGCAAGAGGATCAGCAAGGGAAGCAGAGCAGTGATGTATGCACTCACATCCTCAAACAGGAAGAACAACCTGTCCATCCTACTTTTCATGTTGTTTATACTGTATGTATATATATATATACTGTATATATACATATACTATAGTTCAGTAGGTATACTCACATAATCATGGCTAGATAAGTTCGTAAACAATCCTCTAGTTACAAATATTAATAATCTTGTATTTTCATTCACACATTATCCATGTTCACATTCTTGGTAAGTTTTTAAGTAACCAAATTCAAGTTAAAAATACATTACTGGTGGCTTTGTAAATTTTTTAATAATTTTGACCTTTGTAAGTCTTTCTGTGTTCCTTATCAGTAAAGACAAACTTATTAGATTATACAGTACTGAAATCATCCTAGAAAATGTATTCCACACAATTTTCACACCTTAGTCTGAGATAAATGAATGACATTACTATAGTATATAAATTTTCCAATAATGTATATTAATTCATTATTACAAATTAATAAATGAAAAAGTCTAGTGATTTGTATCTCTTATTCAGTTATATTGAATTTCCAGTTACATGATAAATATTGTTGTAGTGTAGTTAAAAAACAAAACAAATATAAGTTCATTTATCTTAAACTCCTGGTGAGAGAGAGTCCACACTGCCTGTATGTTTTGTCACTCTTCACTAGATCAGAACAGTCATAAAGATAGTGTGTGACATGTTCCCTTGGGTATACAAGTGCAGGTATACAGTTCCCTACCTGACCAAAAAAAAGTGATGGTCAATTTATAAAAGATACAAGTTCTAATGAAGACAGGATACATGGGTGATATATAATTAGTGTTGTCAATTGTGAAGACATACAGCTTCATGCAAAAGGGTACATACGTGCATAAGAAGGTCAAGTAACCATAATACAATAGTACTGTACTGTAATTTGGAACATACACAAGTGCACATGAGTAAAAGTAATTGTAAAAGGACAAACCAAAATAGAGTATGTAAGAGTAACTTAGGGGACAGCTGGAAAAATGAACCATAATAATGAAAATATGGATTGAACATAGTTAATTAGTATCAAGTAAGTAGATTATCTAAGGCTGAAATATCATCTCAGTACAGTTTAACAGAGAAAGAAAGAGAAATTAAAAACAGTAATTGTATTATCAAAAATTTTAAAGTTTGTTAAACAGGAGCTCGAGTTATTCTACTTTAGTTCTCAGACGTGTATCTCGAATTTCAAATACCGTATTTTTTATGGCTGAGTAACTGAACCTTGATTTGTCTCCCACAACGCACCCTCCATCAGCCTACAAGGGCATCCCAGAATTTAGCCAGAAAACTATTGATACAGTGAACATTAAAAAAACTTATAACACAGCTGAACCAAGTGTGATCTAGAGAACCTGTGTCCAGTTCATCTCTAGCTTGGTCTTGTACCCTGCAATACCATTATATAATTTATAAGTTAACAACACCCTGGCCCAGCTTTCTCTGGTGCTGTATTTGGCATAAAGCATCGGCATGCCCTGATGGTTGGTGATGTTATTCAGGGCATCAGCAATGAAGTGGTGGCCAAAATATAATGCCAACTTGTTTTAATTATGCGTACTTCACCTTCATGATACAAACTTGGTTTTAAGGTGACAATACTGCATATTGTAACTCCAGCCCAGAATGGCAAATAGAAATAAAGGCTTACTGTAAATTACTCTTGACCAGTAATTTTTTTTCTGGCAGTACATCATCAAAACATTTTATCTGCCCTGATATGAGCAAGCAAGGAGCAAACGTGCATGAATGAGCGTATGTTCAATTGCGTCTGTCAACTGGCTTTAGGAACTGCATGTGTTTCCCGATTGTTGAAAGTTTATTGCGGAAGCCAAGGACAAGCTGGAGTTCAGACGTCTCTCTGCCATATATAAACCCTGTGAATCCAACGGAAGCTCTGTTGACTCCTCCTGACACTCATTGAACCTAAGTTCGTGTGTGAAGCCTCCCTCCCTGTATTATTCCCGTGTTGGACTCCTGTTGGAATTCTGTACTTTTAAGATAAGTTTATTTAACAGAGACTGGGTCAGGTTCGTTTGTAATAACGTGTTGTGTAATTAGTCTCTCAGTGAATTTACAAATATTTTATGAAAGAGACTCAAGATTTGTGGTATTTTGTATTTTATGTACACTATTTGCCTCGGTATGCTTTTGTGTTATACAGTAATTTATGGGTAGAGATCCTGATCTGGATGTAATTTTGTTTCATTCTCTTCTGGTGAAAGTGGTTTCACGTAGTCAGATTGGTGTAACGTGGGGGTAACAGCACCAAAAATACATAATACTGCACAGTACATGATAATATGAAGACTTGATACTGATCACCATGTAAAGAATATTGTATAGACAATGTTAACATGATACACATGCCCTTTTTAATTATCCATTATAATGTTTAGCAACTCTTATGTCAAAGCAAATATCATGCATTTCATATAGATTACTAGTACAGTACAAACTTGTTAGGTACAATACTATTGAATTTAACTCTCTTGTTAAAACTGTACAATAATAATCAATAAATTAAACTGTTCCTTTTATGATTAAAAGCTACTAAAACATTGAAAGAAGTGGATGTACAGTGAAGCTATCGGCAAGAAGGGTAAAAGGAAAAGCCCATAACTGAAGTATCACCACAATAATTGAGTGCCCTGTGCTCCATAACCTGTACTGTATGGTAAATGAGAGGTAAGGATGGATGACTCTCTGATGTGCTAAATGGATGATGGAGAGAGAAAACCTATATCAGTTGTGCTGTGGGAGTGGAGAAGGCATCACATGACATAAGGAGATAAGTCAGTGTGCAAACAGAGAAGATGAATTAAGAGGGTAACAGAGGAAGAGGAGAAGATACACAAACAAAAAGATATACTGTATATATTATGGTGTAATGAAGTTTGATAACAACTGTGTTTGACAAGGATTCTGCTTAAGGTATCTAGCTTTACTGAAAAAAAAGTTCACTGGACATTGTAGACAAAGTGATAAACAACACATCTGAGAGAAAAACAAGATATGATCTTGATTGTAAAACATTAAGAACAATAGCATTACTAGTGGGCCTGTGGGTATGGCTAAGAATGAGGTTAAGTTACAGTATAGCAGCACCATATGTGAGCTCATTAAAGACCAACTTGACCAACACTGGCACAGGTACAGATACACCATGGAACCAGTACATGCCAACAGGGTGTAACAGAGACATAATTGACCATCTAAACGGCTAACAAACAAATCAGCAGTGAAGAGGATGAAGTATAAAGTATTACTAGTGAACCTGTGGACATGGCTGAGAATGAGGTTAAGTTAAAGCATAGCATTACCAGTGGACTTGTGGACTTGGCTGAGAACAAGGCTAATGTACAATCCTACAGTGGGGGAAGTAAGAAATAATCTCAAATCACCATTGAATCATACTTCTATTAAGCATGAGAGGAGGGAGCAGAGGGAAGATGATGCAGATCAGTGGAGGTAGTCTACTAGAACCTCATCATCATCATCTATTTCAGCTGCGCTCGACTCCACCTCATGGTAGTCCATTTCTAAGGCAGCAGTGTCCTCTCTGGCCTCGGTAAACTCTCCTATGGGGCCACGGAATAACACAAGGGGGACATGGGAATGGCAGAGGAGAGAGGTTAAGGAGAGAGACGTTTTTATGAGGACAAACATAATTCAGGGGGGGACAAGGGAGAATGACAGGAACCAGAAACATTTAAACCAAGGAAGAAGATACAGGTGTGTGTGGAGGAATGTTGAGAGTGAGAAGGAAAGTCACAGAGGTAGAGGATTCAGGAAGTGAAGAATTCTTTATTAGATAACTTGATAATCATATCCAGACATGCATCATGCAATTAAAAAGTATCACTTGTGCATTTTTTCATCTAAACTGTGAACATTATGGCCGCAAACATCTAATGCACTATCAGTAAGATTATTGAAATAGAAAATCACCACAATGTTCAGTAAAATTTAAAAAACATAGCATAATGGCAGTCATCAACAAGTTTAAGAGAAAAAATTGGGATTACATGAAGTCTAGATATACGAGCTCTTTCTACCTGAAGATTAACCACCCCAATGCTACCTGGGGGTTAGGTTGGGTTATTGATAGGGTGGTTAATGTTCAAGTAAAATAAGTCAAATCTTCAGTTAATCCAAACAATGTACAGTACAGTACAGTAACTCAAGGAGATGTATTTTGGGTCAATGCCTCATGCAAAGTGACTTCACAGACTCAATTAACCTCATCAAGTTTATGGCTAGTATGAGGTAGACATGTGTCAGCTCCACACTTTTTACCTAGTGGGTTAATTTATGAGTTATCGAGACTAAGGTAAGTTAGCTATGAACAACTGGAGCCAAATTTTCCTTCGGTTGAAATATCTGACATTTAGGAGGTGTTTTTACCATTCAAATATTTATGAATGCAAAAATGTTTGTATTACTATTTGCTCCTTCCGATTACTTTACTTATGTACAGCTGTATTGATGACTGATTAACTGTCTTTTGAAGTTTTATTTGTGAAACATGGTCTTAAACATGACTCCCTATAGTGTACAGTATTCCAGCCTAATGTTAGAAGATAGCTATTGTATCTATTTTATATATAATCTGCTGGTCTCATAACATCTGACACTTCCTCTCCATTCTACTATACAAATATAATCAAATTCCACTTCGTCCTTGAGCTTCAGCCACACCACTTAACTTCCAAGTGTGTCATCACCAGCCTCATCCAAGTCATGTTTAAGATTTGTCAACCATCTATCACCCTCAGGCATTGTTGCTTCAAAATGCAAGATGTAAATACTGTAGTAATAATTATTTGCATGTGTTGCCTTCACCAAAAATCATCCAAAAGTTAAGTTATCATGACTTACCTTCTTCCATGCCTTCTCCAACGTACCAGTGTACAAAGGCTCTTTTGGAGAACATCAAATCAAACTTGCGGTCGAGGCGCTCCCAGGCGTCCTTAATTGCAGTTGTGTTTGAGAGAGCACAAACAGCTCTCTCTACTTTAGCCAAGTCAGTACCAGGTACCACAGTTGGTGGCTGGTAGTTGATGCCCACCTAGAATATATACAGTATACCATATATAAATACAGTACAAAAATTGTGATAACCACAAGAAAACACAAAGTCCCACAAGACCAGAACATAAACCTTCTCTGGCTTATTTAGTGCCTCCTCCTCCTTCCTCCACCCCGCTCAGCCCTCAACAGATATTTTGTGTTCTGTACTATCCTAAAATTTAAAGAAAGAATTAAATATTCTTTCTCTAACAATAATTACAAATTCTAGAATGTGTTGATACTGTTCAGTTACTGTACCTTGAAGCCTGTTGGACACCAATCGACAAAAGTAATATTTTTCTTGGTGCGTGTCTCGGCAATGGCAGCGCTGACATCCTTAGGAACAACATCCCCACGGAAGAGGAGACAACATGCCATATATTTACCATTCCTGGGATCACACTTGACCTGGTGAGAGACATGAACAAAGGATCATACAACACACACAGAAGATGCTACTTTATTGGCACTAAGTATCTGATGGCCTTGTCAGCCATTTTTGGTTGAAATGCCTTCTTATTTACCATTGTTTGTATACCTGCACTGTCTTGGTATATTGTTAGTAAATTTGCACTGTCTAGGTACACTGTTTGTATACTGTACTGCACTATCTAGGTACATTGTTTGTATACCTGCACTGTCTAGGTATATTGTTTGTATACCTGCACTGTCCTAGGTACATTGTATACCTGCACTGTCTAGGTATTCTTTGTATAACTGCATTGTCTAGAGTACACATTGTTAGTATACCTCTTTGCACTGTCTAGGCACATTGTTTGTAAACCTGCACTGTCTAGGTACATTGACAGCATACCTGCACACTCTTTGTATACCTACATTGTTTAATACCTGCACTGTCTTGGTACACTTTGTATACCTGCACTGTCTAGGTACACTTTTTATACCTGCACTGTATCAATATATTGTTAGTATACCTGCACTGTCTAGGTATATTGTTTGTACACTCTTTGTATACCTGCACTGTCTGGGTACACTTTTGTATACCTGCACTGTCTGGGTATATTGTTTGTATACCTGCACTGTCTGGGTATATTTTGTATACCTGCACTGTTCAGGCATATTTTGTATACCTGCACTGTATCTAGGTAATACCTTTGTATACCTGCACTTTCTTTGTATCTACTGTCTAGGTATATACATTGTTTGTATAACCTGCATTGTCTAGGTACACTTGATATATACCTGCACTGTCAAGGAACATTGTTTGTATACCTGCACTGTCTATGGTAATTGTTTGTATCCTGCACTGTCTAGGTATATCTGTTTGTATACCTGCACTGTCTAGGTATGCATTGTTCAGTATACCTGCACTGTAGGTAATATTGTGCATTGTTAGTACACTCTTTGTATACTGTCTAGGTACATTGTTTGCCCTGCACTGTTCAGGTATACTTTTTGTATACCCTGCACTGTCTAGGGTATATTTTTGTATACCTGCACTGTCTAGGTATATTGTTAGTATACCTGCACTGTCTAGGTATATTGCTGATATACACTAGGTATATTTTGTATACCTGCATTGTCTAGGTATACACTAGGTATATTGTTTGTATACCTGCACTGTCTAGGTATATTGTTTGTATACCTGCATTGTCTAGGTATACTCTTTGTATACCTGCACTGTCTAGGTATATTGTTTGTATACCTACTGTCTACATTATGTGTTTGTATACCTGCACTGTCTAGGTATATTGTTTGTATACCTACACTGTCTAGGTATATTGTTTGTATACCTGCACTGTCTAGAGTATATTGTTTGTATACCTACTGTCTAGTATATTGTTTGTATACCTGCACTGTCTAAATATATTGTTAGTATACCTGCACTGTCTAGGTACTATTGTTTGTATACCTGCACTGTCTAGGTATATTGTTTATATACCTGCACTGTCTAGGTATATTGTTTTGAAGATCACCTGCACTGTCTAGGTATATTGTTTGTATACCTGCACTGTCTAGATATATTGTTAAATATACCTACTGTCTAGAGTATATTGTTTGTATACCTGCACTGTCTAGAGTATATTGTTTGTATACCTACTGTCTAGGTATATTGTTTGTATACCTGCACTGTCTAGGTATATTGTTTGTATACCTGCACTTTATCTAGGTATATTGTTTGTATACCTGCACTGTCTAGGTATGTGTTGTATACCTGCACTGTCTAGGTATATTGTTTGTATACCTGCACTGTCTATACACAATACACATAGATTGTATAACTGCAGTATCTAGGTAGTATACATCATTAGCCTATACCTGCAGTGACTGTATACCTTCACCATCTATACACATGATTAAATGATGAAAATGTGTCTGAAGATTTCACAGAATAAAACTGAATAGAGGAAAAGAAGAGAAAGTAGAAGAATAGCTAAGATACATCAGCACATCACCAAACAGACCCCCTTACATATTAACCCTTTATCTAGTCAAATAAAATTGATCTTCAGGACAGTTAATTAACCTAACCTAAGGACTCCCTCATCATTATCCATCTTTTACTTTACTTTTTACTTTTATCCTCTTCGCCACTGATTGGCCCGTTAACTGCTTGAGTGATCGGTCACATCTCTGTTATGCACTGTTGTCAAGTATTGGGCATGCACTGGATCCTGAATGTATCTGTGTCATGGTCACAATGACGGTCTGTTTGAAACCCTGATTCATATTATACTCCACGCCAGCAAAACATGTGGATAACTGGTGAGTTATCCCTAGGAAGCAGGGTTGGAAAAAATCATGATTATTTTTAAAAAAATAAAAAAATCGATTTATTTGATTTAAATCGGATTTTTTTTATTTAAATCGATTTTTTATTTTTTTACTAATTGCATTAAAATAGTATTTTTAAACCATAAAAACAGTATTTTTCAACCAAGCTTATTCAGGATAATAAACAGAAAATTGGCATTAAGATATTTATGCAGTAGATGTACCAATGGCATTCAACACAATACAGTTGTACCCCGCTTAACGCGGTTTCACTTAATGCGATTTCTCATATACGCGGTGCCTCGCCAGAACCGAACTTTCACTTAACGCGGTTCATCTTCTCATATACGCGGGAAGCGGCACGGGCACGATGCGCACAAGGTCGCCCAGTCATCAAAACATTACCGAGTTCTTCACCCGCCACCCACCACAGCCGGCCCAAGTCAGTGATAGTGATAATTATAGTGAGGATATGGACTTATATGGACTTTGAGGGGTTTGACAAAGAGGCCCTGCAAGCCTCTGTAGTGGATAGTGATACAATTGATACAAGTGATACAGGTGAGGGCCAATAATCTGCCCTCTGCCTCGGAACCAACCCCCCATCCCCGTGTGCCCAGCCATCTCTTCTACTAATGTAAGTGTTAAAAAACTTAATATTATTGATATTTCTCTTAATTATTAATTGTGTGTGCATACCATCATAAAGTTAAGATAATATTTTTACTACAACATAGTTGTGTGTCGTCAAAAAGTGGAGTTTGGGGGTCGGGCCAGTCTCTATTGGAATTAATCCCATATGTTCTGTTGTTCACTTAACGCGGTTTTCACTTAACGCGGTACTCTGTGGGTTCAATTGACCGCGTTAAGCGTGGTACAACTGTACAGTAATATTCTTTTTGTAAAATAAAAGAAAACTGGTAACACATCTTACATTTGAGTGCACAAATCCAAACGTAATAATGAAATTTAACATAAATGCTCTTATAGGATTACAGTGTTTCAAAAATTAATGACTTAACTTCTTCAAGTCAACAGAATAATATTCTCATTTTGTAAAAAAAATAATACCGGTAACACGTTTAAGAATTACCGGTAATAACTTCAAGTCAACACAATATTCTCATTCTGTAAACAACAAAAATAGTTCAAAACATTTAAATTAGCTTAGTTGAACATTGAAATGCTTATATACTGTGACAAGCTTAGATGCCTTTTCCTGTCCTAGGCGATTTCTTACCATTGAGTACAAATCCATATGTGGAAAAAATCTCTCAACCCCTACTGATGATGCAACAGCTGTAAATAATTACCTAGGAACATCCATTACATTTTCTGTCATATCATTGGCAAAATACTGCCACCAAGCAAGGGGTGAGAGAGGTTTTACAACATCTTTACCAAAATAGACCTCTTTAAATGGTGCACTTCTTCCATGGAAGGACATTAATTTTGAAAGGAAATGTGGAAGAAACTCACACACTTACTGTTCTGCAATGTCTCGCTGCTCAGGAGTCAGATGTCTGCCCTGATACCTTGGATCTATCACATTAGCTAGAAAATGGGCAGGTTTCAATGCTACTTTGATTCTTTTTTTCAAAATTATCCATATCCTTCTTATCTGTTAAATACTCCTTAATATCTGTTTTCAGTTTTACCCAGATTTCTACAGCATCACTTAATAGGGTATGTTCTCTCTGGACACAGTCCAATGCCACAGCAATAGGCTTAAGTCTCTCTAAATAGTCTTCTGCAGTTCTTTTTAATGCCTTATCATTAACTTTCCTTTCAATTTTCTTATCAAAGTCTTCACTATTTTCTTTGCACACTTTGACAAGGGTCTCCCAGTTCTTTAAATAAGATTCAATAGAAACTGTCACTGTGTTCCATCGTGTGTCTGATGGCATTACTAGCGTTGTTCCTCCTGCTCTTCTATACAAAGATCCTAGGATGTGATGATTTCTGAAGTACTTAATGATTTCAGTAATGTGCTCCTTAATGTTCTTGATTTGCAGGTCTTGTGAAAGCAAATTTAACAGGTGTGCAGAGCAACCATATGTTATAATGGATTTATCTTGTCCGAATTCACTTCTCATTTTTGCCATATTAGCAGCATTATCTGTTACACAGCTTCTTACTGTGCATCCAAATTTGTCTTCACACTTTTTTGTAGCACATTCAGCTAATTTCAACAGATATTCAGCTGTGTGTTTTGATTCTGTGTCTATAGAGTCAACAAGATAAATACGGTTATCCGCTGTTAAAGTTATACATACTATAGGCTCATTATGGACATTACTCCATCCATCCATGGCCATGCAAACTGTTTTCCCACTAAGTTCTTCTGAATAATTCTTAATCACTGAATCGTAGGCTTGATCCAAAAGAGACCCTCCAATTTGATGTCTATTAGGTGGAACATATCCTGGTCTTAGCATTTTAATCATCTTGATGTTATCAGCCTGCTGCATTGCATAAACTTTTCAATCATGTTGAATAAAAAGAGAAAACAGTTATTAGTAAAAAAATCATTTTGATTTAAATCATGATTTTTTTACTCTGATTTAAATCATGTCATTTAAATCATTTGATTTAAATCATAACAACCCTGCGAGGAAGAAACGCGTTTTCCCTCTCCGTAAGTCCTGTAGTGGATCCTCTCCCCTACAACTCCCAACTGAGCTCCGGCCACGCGCCTACCAGCCAATCAGCGTACAGCCAGCTACGCCGAGAGACTAGGTCTATGCAGTGGACGTATGGGTACGATCGCCGACCTAGTCTCGACCTTCAACTTCCAGCTCAGGATCAGAGCGTTTCACACCTTACGCTTCCGCTCCCATGATTGGCCCTCGCGCTACGAGCACCTCATATCCTGAGGTTCCTAAATCACATAAATACGGCCCCAGTTGACCGGGGAACTCATTCTACACTCGGCTACCGGACCAGCAACATCTCTCCACAGCTCCTCACCACTCAGCTTCCTCAGAAAGCTCCTCGCCCTACAGGATCTCTGAGCAAGTTACTCCTCACCTAGTAACTCCTAAGCACTGCACTGTACAACAATATATATACAGAAAGCGCATTGTGAATTTCTATTCTACCTCATTTCTGAGAGTAAGATATCTACATGTACGTACGTTTGTGTGCCCATACAAAGAGAAAATAGACAACTAAAGAGAATTGACGACTGGCCACTTACAGTACGCTACAGTCCCGCCCATTTGGGGTACTCAGTTGTCAATGCATATATACCACTTTTTACTGGCAAGCTCAATATCGAATTAGTTTATGTAAATCAACTTAAGAAATTCGCCAGACCCGTGTCAACTGAGGGTCATCTTTGACTGTGTAGCAGTTGATTTGAATGTAATTTCTGTCATTGCGTGAGTAGCAACCTCTGACAACTCACGGCGTATATAAACCTGCGCGTGAAGGAGGAATCCCTTCCTTGACGACTTCCAAATTTATCTCAGGTATGTAAGCGAGTGTTCCCCGCTGATATAGTCATTCAGCTTAACTTAGTAAATTTTGTGAGTATCAGTGTTCATGTTGTAACAGTGAAATTGTCATTTACCCAGTGTAAGAATTACTGTAACGTAAATGTCGTCTGTCGTTGCTAGACGAAAGATTGTTTGTGATTGAGTCATCTCAGCCCTCCCTTGACGTCTCCACATTTATCCCAGATCCAGTGTGTGGGTTATTTGAACACCCCACCGGCTGCCCGGGGTCGGTGGATACATAATAGTTAGCTGTATTGGACGATGTCGCTGATTCGGCACGATTAAACTGCTCCAGTCCACATCGTGAGAACGAGACTCCAGACTCTCGCCACGTGTCAGACTTCAACCGACTACAACAGCGGTCTTCATTTGTTGAGACGCCAGTGTTCTACCCTGGGACACTCCGTGAAGTTATATGGTCCACAGTGTTTGTTATATATGATTGGGGATAATTAACTGGAAATAATTATCCTATGTTGGGTAGTGAACCCATAAAATTTTTTAGTATCAGTAATAACGTGTTGTGCTGTGAGTGCATCCTCCATATGCACTAAAAACAGCTCTAGTGAGGGCACCATATGTAAGTTTGTCTTGTAGCTGTATGTAATGTAATGTACCACCAGTAATGTTGTAAGAAGCCAGAGTAGAGTATGCAATTTGAATTGTAGATGAGTACTGTAAAGCCAAGGAGTTGAACCTTGTAGTTGTATGTTAATGACATCTTTTACCTAATTTAATTTAATTTTAATAAACCATTTCTTAGAGTATATTAGGGGTATCTTTTTCACTCAGTATCCACCTTTATTTTGCCCGATGACTTGATACCAGAATTACAGTCCCCATGTGCCCAAACCTTCTAGCCATGCTGCCAAAGGTCTGAGGTGATGAAGTAACCATAATGAAATATTTAGACAGAACAAATGAAGGAACTAAGACAAAAAGAGAAGTATGAAATAAGAATATAAGGGAGAAGAAGAAAATCCCCGCCCTTATAATGGTGGCAACGTGATCCCTGCCCTTATATCTGTACCTGTCAAGTCTGGTCTTGAAAGAGCTCACACTCGGTGCCATCACAACGCTCTCTGGCAAATTGTTCCAAGAGTTCACAGTTTTCTGGACTTGTGGCTTCTTCAACCTTGAGCTGTGACCCCTTATGGGGTGTGCGTCTGCCAGCTCCAGGTATGGACACCTTACTTAGTACAGTAGACCCTTGCCATTCACAGTAAGCAGATGGCGGCTATGGTGGCTAGCTTGCATGCCTTTTCCCGCAGCACAACGAGTCACCCCACACAGCATCTCGTGTTGTACTCTCAAAACTTCAGTGTTTCTGTGTGAAATGGCCTCTAAAAAGACTGCCTAGTGTCAGTGCTAATGATGCCATTGGAGTAAAATGTAAAAGGCAAAAGTCAGTGATGACCCTGACAAAGAAAGTTTTATTTTTTTATATGTTAAAAGATGGGATGAGTGCTGTTGCAGCTGGTCAGTTGTTTGGTACAGGTATACAGTAGTGCACTAACACATAAAAGAGTTCGAGCCCCATCCCAGATACATGTAGGAAGGAAGTTATCCAGTGTGACCCGACCAAACATCACAGGTTTCCTAGTCCTCGGTTTCCTCCTGTACTAACATTGGATAGTCCAACCACCCAAATGGCTAGTAAGCTGGTAAGAGGCTAGAATTATTAAAAAAAATAAAATAAAAAATATGAAAATTTGGTGAAATTCCATAAAGTCTTTCTAGTGCTAATGGTATCCTCCACCTTTACCCTTCAATGTCATTTCATCATCATCATAATAATAATAATAATAATAATAATTATAATAATAATAATAATAATAATAATAATAATAATATTATTATTATTATTATTAATATTCTAAAGATACAGAAGAAAAAAATTAAAAAGAAGCTATTTTACCCCTGACTAATACAAACCACTCCAGGTATATACTGTAATACTTTAAACACTCACCATCTGGTAGGTTGTATCAAAGCAGTTAGCAGTTATATCACGCACACTAAAATCCTCATGGAAGGCATTTTCAGTTGACACTACTGGTGCATATGTAGCCTGAGGGAACATCATTATAATTATCATCAAAACTTAGTTAGGGTTTCATAAATTCATAAAATTATAAAAAGAAAGGAGATATAGTCAATAAAATCTGCATCGTTATTACATTTCTAACTTATTTATACAGTATTACCCCGCTTTACGCGGTTCCACTTTCCGCGATTTCTCATTTACGCGGTGCCTCGCCAGAACCGAACTTTCACTTTCCGCGGTGCATCTACTCATATACGCAGGAAGCGGCGCGGGCAGGATGCGCACAAGGTTGCCCAGTCATCAAAACATTACCGAGTTCTTCACCCGCCACCCACCACAGCCGGCCTAAGTCAGTGATAGTGATAGTGAGGATATGGACTTATATGGACTTTGAGGGGTTTGACAAAGAGGCCCTGCAAGCCTATGTGGTGGATAGTGATACAATTGATACAAGTGATACAGGTGAGGGCCAATAATCTGCCCTCTGCCTCGGAACCAACCCCCCATCCCCGTGTGCCCAGCCATCTTTTCTACTAATGTAAGTGTTAAAAAACTAATATTATTGATATTTCTCTTAATTATTAATTGTGTGTGCATACCATCATAAAGTTAAGATAATATTTTTACTACAACATAGTTGTGTGTCGTCAAAAAGTGGAGTTTGGTGGTCGGGCCAGTCTCTATTGGAATTAATCCCATATGTTCTGTTGTTCACTTTACGCGGTACCCTGTGGGTTCAATTGACCGCGTAAATCGGGGTACTACTATGAAATTTGAATAAATACATAAACTTTATACTACATTAAAAAAGGATCCCGTAGGACCTTTACTGCTCCTTAGACACTTCTTTTACTGCCCCTCAAACACACTTCTACTGTCCTTTTTATTTTTTTCCACAAGTTTACTCTATGGGTGTTCGTATGGGCTACTGTTTAACCATCAGAGTCTCCCAAGATCTTTCAATAAAAAATAAATAAATAAACTCATAATAAGCATACCAGTGGGAAGTGTATCCTGGGGTAAGGCACAAGATTGGTCTGAAACTCTGTCAGGTCAACATTCAATGCTCCATCGAACCTGAGTGAGGCTGTGATGCTGCAATACAAGACCAGAAACTATTAAATGATAGTTGTGGATGGGGTAGTGTGTGTGTGTGTGTGTGTGTGTCCCTAGTGCCTGTGGGTGGAGGGGAGTGTGTGTCTTCCTCTAGTTCCCGTGGGTGGAGGGGAGTGTGTGTCCCTAGTGCCTGTGGGTGGAGGGGAGTGTGTGTGTCTTCCTCTAGTTCCCGTGGGTGGAGGGGAGTGTGTGTCCCTAGTGCCTGTGGGTGGAGGGAGTGTGTGTCTTCCTCTAGTTCCCGTGGGTGGAGGGGAGTGTGTGTCCCTAGTGCCTGTGGGTGGAGGGTGAGTGTGTGGGTCCCTTGCCTCTTCCTCTAGTTCCCGTGGGTGGAGGGGAGTGTGTGTCCCTAGTGCCTGTGGGTGGAGGGGTGTGTCTTCCTCTAGTGTGTGGAGTGTGTGTCTTCCTCTAGTTCCTGTGGGTGGAGGGAGTGTGTGTCCCTAGTGCCTGTGGGTGGAGGGGAGTGTGTGTCTTCCTCTAGTTCCCGTGGGTGGAGGGGAGTGTGTGTCCCTAGTGCCTGTGGGTGGAGGGGAGTGTGTGTGTCTTCCTCTAGTTCCCGTGGGTGGAGGGGAGTGTGTGTCCCTAGTGCCTGTGGGTGGAGGGGAGTGTGTGTCTTCCTCTAGTTCCTGTGGGTGGAGGGGAGTGTGTGTCCCTAGTGCCTGTGGGTGGAAGGGAGTGTGTGTCTTCCTCTAGTTCCCGTGGGTGGAGGGGAGTGTGTGTCCCTAGTGCCTGTGGGTGGAGGGGAGAAGCGAGAGTTTCAGAAATAAAATCTTGTATATAATCACAATTCAGGCCATAATGACTCCCCATTGCAGAGGAAACTAAAATAAGGTAGATGGATTAAACTTTTAAACTTGATGTGCTTAGCTTTAGTATTTGATTGGTCGAACTGTTATTTGTATACATTAAAAAATGCACGATACAACAGCCACATTCCCAAACAAGTGCATGAAATTTATTAAGAGTATCAACAAGACAAGGACAGAAATTTTTATCATGAAACAACACAATCATCTGACTGTGGTGATCTAACCTTCCCACGATTGTATAGATGTGTTGATCTGACCTTCCCATAACTGTAAACTGTGTGATGATCTGACCTCCCCATGACTGTATTGACTGTGTTGATCTGACCTTCCCATAACTGTATTGACTGTGTGATGATCTGACCTCCCCATGACTGTATTGACTGTGTTGATCTGACCTTCCCAGGACTGTAAACTGTGTGATGATCTGACCTCCCCATGACTGTATTGACTGTGTTGATCTGACCTTCCCAGGACTGTAAACTGTGTGATGATCTGACCTCCCCATGACTGTAAACTGTGTGTTGATCTGACCTTCCCATGACTGTCAACTGTGCGATGATCTGACCTTCACATGACTATAGCCTGAGTGGATGGTACAAAGCTTGTTGCCATACCTGGAGACCACCTGCCCGATCATACGGTTGAGGTTAGTGTATGTGGGTCGGGAGATGTCGAGCCTCTTCTTACAGAGGTCATAGATGGCTTCATTATCCACCATAAATGTCACGTCCGCATGTTCCAGTGTTGTGTGTGTGAAGAGGATGGAGTTGTATGGTTCAACCACAGCTGTTGAGACCTGCCAACATATCAGGATACTACAGTATGTAATTGTGTTTATTCCCAGCTTTTGTCAATGTTTAATGCTTTTGTAAACCAACTTACTGTATAAAGTATACTGTACAGTTACTTATCAAGTTCATTATTAAACTTAGCACTAATTTCTGAATAACATACAGCATGGTCACCAAAGATTACTTACAGATTTTACCGAGAACATTACTGTATTACTAAGTTTTAGCAAAATCAAACTTAGAGAATAAAAGACTTTTGGTCCACATAAGATTAAGGTCTACAAGGAGACCTTCAAACTCTACCACATGGACAAATGAGACTGTACATATTCTCATATATTCTCATAAAACTATACTGAATTGAGAGAGTCATATATATTACAGTATGTGGACCTGGTGCTTGATACAGAGCATAGTGACAGGCATTACAGTACATAGGAGATAATTATGAAGTAAACACACCTGTGGGGCAGGATATATGGAGAAGCAGAGCTTGGACTTTTTACCATAGTCAATGGACAGGTGCTCCATCAGAAGAGAGCCGAAACCTGATCCGGTGCCTCCACCAAAGGAGTGGAAGACAAGGAAGCCCTGAAGCCCTGAACACTGCTCCGTTTGTTTTCTAACACATTCCCGAATAACATCCATCTGTTCCCTACCTGGTGGGGAAATAAGGATCCACAGTTCTAAATAACTTAAGATATTTAATGAATATTGAACCACATGTACTATACAACCACTGTACTGAATGGTACTGTACATAATGGTGTTCATAAACAATTCATCATCTAGTAATAATTCATAAATCACACAATGCTTTATGTAACAGCTAGTGGAATACAAATGCAATAGTGGCTGAACTTAAATTACACTGACCTATTTGATATTGTATTAGGAAAGTTTCACCAAAGAATTCAATACACCAATTCACCGAGGAAGAAACCAGTAACAAAGTAAAATGTATCTGATCTTGTTGTCGTTCTCCCCAGGGGCATGTTGAACGTAAGTGGTGGGCCACTTTTATTGTGGGCCCCATGTGTTCTTGTCTTAAATAATGCAGAAAGAAAACTTTACTAACTAGACAGATCAACTGCCTGAATAGCTAGTAAGCTGATAAGTGGAAAAATTAAAAATAAAAATACAATTATAAAGCCTTAACATAATAACACAAGACACCATGGACCCCACATGACTGCTGGACCAGACTTTCGTCTTGGTCAAGAACGTTAAATAAAGATCTCCGAGACGACCTATATTGTCCTCGGGTAATTGTGCACACGTGTGGTAATTTATGAAACATTGTACATTTTATTGCAAACTACATTCCTAAGGTGTTTATACCATTAGAGTGATTCAATAACAACCAGTACAATGTTCAGACTTAACAGATAACAAGCCCAATAACCTCGTATAGTTTTCCTCTAAGAAACCATGCCACACTGTAAAATTAAGTAAGGTTGTTACTTATCTTCTTTGCCACAAGTCTTTTACCCAGGCGATTGAGCGGTCAGTCTGTTCTCTGTTGCTTGAACTAAAAATTACCCCAAAAATATATTTGTAAAAACAATCTCATCACCAACTGCAAAGAAATACATCAAGACTGGATGTGGCACCAACAAATAACTATTTCATTCATAGAAACACAGCTTCAGTTTTTTATAGGCCTGGAACTTTACACTGTTGTTCACAGCTTACAGATATTGACCTAATTAAGTAAAGATCTGCTAGTACGACCTGGTAATAATTAACAATGTGCAGGAAATGCATTTCATATATGAAGGTTACTAGTGTGCCCTGAAGAATGCAGTGATGGCTAGGGAAACACTGAGTAACACTGAGTTCGTTTATTGTGGATGAGAGAAATACAAGCGGTGACCAGCATGTGCCAAGCACAGCTCACACGGTCAGACTGAGGCGCCTTGCCATATGGCAGCCTCGGGGCAATGTTGCCACATAACACGTGCAGTGTTGCCACGTGATAATATATATAAATGCTACTCGGCACAGTAGCTTATATACATAAGCTACAATATACATCTGCAATTCCTTTTATAAAACAGAAACCATATTCAAAGGGTATGTATAGTCTGACTTGAACAGAGCACATTCGCATAAATACCCATGAACTGTATAGATGGCTGAACACAAACAACCCAAAAGAAGACAGAAGTCACCCTCGCTCTCTCCCTTAAGCATCTCAGATTTCGGATACACACTGCAAACCATGAGACCTTCGGCGAACACTGGAAGAATTTCAAACACACTATGCCACTATGACACAGTAATCCGACTTGACAACCACTATTACAAAGAGTATCAACCCAGGACTCGGTCTAACATATTGTGTGGATACATCGTAGGTAGGTACCACTGACTGGGCCTGGGAGTACCTTACCTGGACAACCCTGAGCCTGGCCACACTACATGTAAACTTCGTGGCACTTGACATTATAAGGGACCTACCACAGCCTAGCCTTAAACTGATGAACCTGTCCAGGAAATCCTCCCTAAGTACAGGTACACCTTTCTGCCCTTCACTACATGTAACTTGATGACATAACTAATGACCCCTCAAACACTCTCGCCCATTCTTCATCAAAGAAGTCAAGATTGAAGTCTGCGGTAATGCTTTTGCGCTTCACATTGTACAGGATATAAACTACTATAGTTCCCGAGCCTGTGTGAAGGCAAGGATTCTATAGTATTGTATTGGAATCCTTGGTGAGGGTAAACAGAATCTGAGTAACCCACTACTTCTTCTGTCAAGGTCACCAGACTAACCTAATTTTTGTCATGTGGGGGTTGTTACAGAGCTTTGCCTCTGCTCTCGTTAAGCAACATGTAGTAACCAAACCTTCTCACATGGGTGTTACTGTCCACGACAAATCACAATAAAATAGTTACCAACGGTGTAGTGGCCACGGGCGTAGTTGTTGGCAGCATCCTCCTTGCCAGTGCGGAGGGTGTCGGGGGCGAAGAGTGACCGGTAGGTACCCGTCCTGATCTCATCTGTTGAAGGCACACACAGCTCGTGAATACTTACATCACAACAGCAATAGTGTCCTCACTTGTTGATTTTCGAGGTCTACCACAATGTTCTGGAAGACCTTGCACATCAACAAGCAAGGTAAATGTTGCTGTTGTAATAATAGTATTCACGAGGACTCCACACAGAACTGTAAGGGAGTGCGCATGCATTTTTTAGACACTCTGTATACAATGAGGAGAGAAATAGTTTAGGACAAGATACATTTGCAATCAAGAAATAAGTCAGCACAAGGCATATATATATATATATATATATATATATATATATATATATATATATATATATATATATATATATATATATATATATATATATATATATATATATATATATATATATATATATATATATATATATATATATATATATATATATACTGATAGAGGAAGAAGAAAACACGTTCCCAATAATTCACATCTTCAGGTGAGTACAGACTAGCTGGTGGTTATCAGCATATACCTAGATCATGACCTACAGTGATTATATATATATATATATATATATATATATATATATATATATATATATATATATATATATATATATATATATATATATATATATATATATATATATATATATATATATATATATATATATATATATATAGATAAGTTTTTGTAAGGGACAACTAGGAACTCATGGAGATTAGAAACTGCTAGCTTATTTCACCTACCGGGTAATGATTAAACACCCTAATACTAAATGGGAAGTTAGGTTAGGTTGTGTTGGGTTGGCTTAGGTTATGTTCGATAAGATTATATTAAGTTTGGTATGGTGTGGTTAGATTATATTTGGATAGGTTAGATTAGGTTTGGTTTGGTTAGGTTAGGTTAGCATCACAGTGGTTAATCATCAGGTGAAATGAGTGGGGATTCCTAATCTTCAAGAGCTTCGACGACTCACTCAAGGAGAAATCACACTAGCATTTCAATTGTCAACTTTTTCATAACTGTCAGGAATGGACTACTGCAGGAGTCTACAGTAAACGTAGGCTTGCAGCTAGCCTTGCCTATCAACACAAACTATACTATCTGGCCAGGTGGTAAAATTCACTTGCCGATAAATCCCTAGTTAGAGTACAGTATTAGGTTAAACTTTGTTAGATTCAATCAGTTTAGGTTGTTTGGTTAGGTTGGTTTAAATTATACTAATCTAGGTTATATGAATTTAGATTCAGTCAGGTTATGCTAGGCTATGTTAAGTTAGGTTAGGCTATGTTAGGTTTTTAGCTAGGCGAGACTACGTTAGGTAAAGCTAGGTTAAATTAGGTTAGGTTAGACTATGTTAGGTTAGGTTAGACTATGTTAGGTTAAGCTAGGCTAGGATATGTGGTTTTAGTTAAGTAAGGCTAGATCCAGTGAGGTATGCTGGCCAAGGATATAAACACAGCCCTATACATGTGAAGGTGAAGTGTTCTGGGAATAATGTATTGTTAGTCTTCCCTACCAACACTTTGATCAATGTTCCCTTGGTGAAACGTGACCCCCCCCCCCACACACACACTCACCACGAACAGTAGGTCAAGTAATTATAAATCAAGCTGTACAAGCCAATATCCGAGGTTAGCCGACATCTAGCTACTCTAATAGCAATCACCACCATCACTAGAAACTGCTACTACTAGTGCCTGTTACAGCCATTGCCACTATTAGTTGATGCAGTTTATCATTATTAACACTAGTAGCTGCTACTAGCAGTAACTAGTGTTAATAATGATACAGCATCAGCTATTAGTGGTGGGGTCTGCCCATATCGTCACCAACCCGTTTCGTCACCACTATTTTTAACCTGTTTCGTAACCACTGCTTTAAGCGTTTCGTCACTGTGTTTCTTCCCATCAATATACACACGAAAATAACTGTTTCTTGGGATAGAAAATAGTAAAAAAAAAAACACCAAGACAATTTATTAAAGACGAATATAAATAAAAAAAAACATTGTTAATACGCCTGCAATCACCGCACTGCTCGGTGCTTTAAACGCTGGAGCCAAATCACCTTCATTTGCTTTGTATTTTGTTTATTTACCAAGGTTGAATCGTTTTCCTTATTAAACAATTAATATTCATGTTTAGTAATAACACACCAATTCTTTAATTGTTCTGTATTTTGTTTATTTACCAATGTTTTAATCGTTTTCTTTATTAAATAATTAATATTCATGTATAATAACAACACAATACTTCTTGAGTCGTCTGTATACACGTGTAATTTTTATTCGTGTAAAATAATAATTTACAATTTGTCACTAATACCAGCGACTGTTAGTGGTGACGAAACGGATGTGATATTGGTGACGAAACGGATTTGATATTGGTAACGAAATGGGTTTTGGTGACGAACCGGGTCGGTGATGAAGTGGATTAGTGATGATATGGGATGTATCCTTAGTGGTAATGGCTGTAACAGATACTAGTAGTACTAACACTACAGGTATTTACAGTATATGCTTCCACCATCACTGCCAACAACTACCATGGCTAGCTACCACCTTGAGTAATCCAGAGTCTTGACAGTTCTGATTGGTATGATCTGGAGGAGTGTTGGGACTCACAACTTGTGAGTCTGGGGGGGTTCAGGGTTGTAGTGGATTTCTCCCCTACAAACGCTGAGTAGCCGACCCCACCAATTCCCCAGTGTATGCCTCGTGGTCTAGGTCAACCAGCGCCGCCATACATCACGGAGCGGGGGTCAACTACTAAGCCACGCCTACCCCCCGCAATTTAAGACCTGACCTCGTGGTGACCTGTCTCTTTCTACCTACACCAACCAGCCAGCAACACCTCCTCCTCCTCCGCCTGCCTGGCGGTCCTCGCTCCCGCCGGCGAGCATGGCGACCCACAAGCTGTCCTTCTCTGAGCATCCTCACCAACCAGCTCTCTCTACATCACGCTTGTAACCATGCTGCCTTCCCAGCACCAAGCTGCATTGTACATCCAATACAACATGTATACAGAGAGCACATTGTGAGTTTCCTTCCTCCATCCCATCCTGAGTGTGAACCAAACATCACTGAACCCCACAGGGTTATGTTACGTAATATTTTAGGGGGTGGGGGGGAATTTGGGTAGAAAAAAGCGTTACGTAATTTTAGAATGGCTCCTAACACATAACCGCCAATAAAATAAACATTGTAAATTAGTAAATGAGATAATAAGTGAGTGGAGCCAGCTGGAGTAGGACCACCACTTGATAAGCCATAATAGACGGTCACAAGTCACGACAAAATTCCCAACAAAATAATAAAGAAAATTCTATCAGATCAAGTTTCTCTTTAAGTTCTGCTACCCTGGTGATCAAGGTTAGATTAGGCTAGTCTACCTAGGATAAGTACGTTAGGTGAGATTTTAGCCTAAATGTTTTATAATAAACAAAATATCAAGTGACAGCAAGATTATACCGAGACAAATAAACGGCCTGTACATTGCAGGAATAAGCACACCATCACAGCCCTCCACAACTCACACCAATCAATACACGACACAATATGACCTCATAAAACGTCCCGATATTGCCCACGGAGGACATTTATTTATTGCCCAGGGTAAACCGAACCCTCGGACAAAAATCGTACCCGAAAAATTTGCCGATGGCATAAATCCCACCTGAAAAATTTTTCCATTGTTTAAAATTTCATCATCAATATTATCAAATTGGACTAATTCCCAGCAATTCCAGTCCCTTTAAGTCCTGGAGCATTATTAGGTTAATTAACAAACGAGATAGATTGTGAAATATTGGCTGCAAAATAGATCACAAGGTAGAAAGTGAATAATGAAAATCGCAGAATATGTGAGAAAAATGGTTGAGTAAAAAAAATATATAACCAATTAAAATGCTATAATTAAACAAAATCCGCCAATAATAAATAGATTAGATTACAAGTATTAAGTAGGTAGTAGATAGATAGGCAGCTACCAAACAGGGAGGTACTACCGTAGTACCGCCTGGGAAGATATTGGAAGCATAATGTGTTGTCTAATGGTAGACCCTGCTGCCATGTGGCATCACGAAAATTGTGACCAAGTCCCAGGTTGCTGATCTGACTTTCTGCCTCATTTGCACACAATTGCAGGTTCTCAATTGTTTCTCTTAACATTGACAATACAACATACATATATATTGTTTCTCACTCTTGGTCGTTTTTTATATTATTTCCTTATGGTTTATTATTATTATTATTGCAGTGTTATTATTATTATTATTGAATATCATTATTATTTTATTATTTTTATTTTTGTATTTTTTTTAATTTTACTTATCTGAATTATTATTATTATTATTACATTTTCACCCCCCAGGCCCCGATGTGGGTCAGTGACCTGTGCCCGGGTGGGCTAATCCCCGTAAAAAAAATAGTGAAAGACTCGTTGTAAAATCCTTAACGCAACGTGGAATTCACGTCAAGCAGTATATCCTAGTCATTTGCTCAAACTTCATCCTTACGCCAATGGTATAAAAATAGTTAACACCACTTGGTGATTTACACCACATCTCTACACTGCTGTTCATCGTCTTTTATTTAACGTAAGACTTTGATTTCAACTTTAGACAAATTACCCTTCATGTGACCATTAATTCTGAGCAGACCAAATTGCCACGTTCATTTATTACAGCCAGACACTATTGAATTATTTTCTATTACACAATACCTCAGGGATTTTTAAAAGGAGAAGACTTAGAAATTTTTTAATTAAAAACTAAAAATACTTAAAATTTTAAACCCTAGTACAATAATTATTTTAAATATCTATTTTTGTTGGTGATTGATGCTGTGTAACAAGTATTGCGCCGTTAAAATAATTAATTTTAATTAATTAACTTTATTACAAAACATAATTCAGTAATCAACTTATATAACTTAAGTTATATATATATATATATATATATATATATATATATATATATATATATATATATATATATATATATATATATATATATATATATATAACTTTGGAACATCACTTAAGTTATAAAAGTTGATTACAAACTAATTATGATAAATACCTGTGATAAGGAACGAATATTTCTGGCCACAACAATGACCTACTTAAGTAACGAAATTATCCTCGGTAAATTATAGGTGATGGGGTCAACTTCATGCCCAGGACGTGTTGATTGAAGGGCTTGGAGAGCGGATACAGCATATCAAACTTGACGTCCTGTATTTTAACAGGGTATTGGACTAAACTTGAGGAAACTTAAGGCGACGGGATTTCAGTTCTTTATCTTACTAATAAGAGTATGTAGAGTTAAAAACAGTATGGTGGGATTGTCTAGGCACATTAAAGAACAATCTGACCCTAGCTTTTTTTTTGTTTCTTCAACTAAGTTAGACATCAAGTTCAAAACTTTGTCCTCAATAAGCTGAAGGCTAATCTTCTGGTGATCTAGTTTTACTGTTATTTTTGGTCCAAATTTAATTTTACAGGCGAGAATATTACACCCAGTCAATCAGTCACATCTATGCTACAGCTCGCCCTAAGGTTTGATTTAATGTACTCGTGGTTGTTGTTATAATGTTATTACTGCTCTTCAACAACTATGGCGTTTAAACGAGTAACAAGGTAAGGAATTACAATATTGCATCAACAATTAAAAAAGTATGAGATATAGAATTCTCGATAAATTATACAGTATACTCGTGGTTCAGCTGAGTCTTTAAGCATCGTTCAGTCTTAGTTTATACATTAAACAGCATTTTACAAATTAAGAATTACATCTTTTCTGGTTTTGAGAATTTGTTACCGATTCACTTCACATTTTTTTCTTGCCAATTTAGTTGTTTGTCTGGTTGTTGTTAATCAGAAACTTAAGGACTGTAAATTCTCGATGAAAACTTTCCAATACAAATACGGTGATTGTGGATTTGAATAGAAGTACTGTACAACTTTATTGAAGCCAGTAGCGAATATGCCCCCCCCCCGCCCCCACTCCTCGCAAAAAAACAGCAACAAAACATAAGTGGATGGAAATCAAATGATGTCCTTTTTTTCAAGTGTGGGCTCCCTTCTCCAGACACTACGTACAACACCGGCACTAGCCCTAACTCAGGTAAAGTGATTAAAGATCAAAACTAAACATTTCATGAGTTAAAAAGCGAATTGTTCATTAAATCAGTGGTGACATTTTGTTGTGACAAATTGTGCGTTTGGTCTACTTTATTTCCCGTTAGAACTGCCTCTGACGGAATGTTTATATTTTGCAGTAAGAGTATCTGGAGCCACTTGAATCGTGTGATCCTGTTCATGCAATCAGTGGTGACAACATCCTCGCACCATCAACAACTTCACTTGATATTTGTGTTATTGATCTCCACGCTGACATTCCGCGCCCAGCTACTAGGAACCCCACGCCATGATCTGTAGAACCTAGTCTGACTCACCCGCTAGTTCTAGGAACGGTTTTAGTAGAGGGGTCAGTGTTTTAGGCAAATTGGGTAGTTACGGAGTTTGGTACCTATTATGGGGTTTCTAACATAGCCTGGACTAGGTTGGAAGGTTTAGACCTGGGTGAAGGTTCCTAGGTTTAGGTTTAAATCAGAGAGCAGCAGAGGCAGCATGTGAATGAGCAGACATCAACGGGCACACAATGATTGTTGGAGAAGGCGTTGAAGCTGGCATGAGTACAGTAAACCATATTTGGATCCTTGTTTTGGAAGAGCAACTTGTACAACGTTAAGAATTGATGATCTGCAACTAACGATGGGAAAATGTGTTTAAGCATTTGCTCCTGTTTCTGGTCAATATATAAAATGTATATACTGTATAATACATCATTGATAACAATAAAAATATTCACCTTGTAAGAAGATATATTAAGGTGAAAGCAATGAGCTGTAACTCCATCCCACTGGATAGAACTTCATTGTTATTTGTTATTAAATTATAGAACCACATCATGTATGAAATACACCTCACTCCCTCACCACCGACTAGTGTACATCAACAAAGATTTTCCCAGCCTTCCTGACCACTATAACGTGCTTCTAACCCAAGAGCTCACACTCGTGCCGTCACAACACTCTGTGGCAGGTTGTTCCAAGAGTTCACAATTCTCACTCCCAAAAAGTTCGCCCGAACAGTTTTCTGGACTTGTGGTTTCGTCAACCCTGTCCTTGTTTAAACATGGTCATTGGACGTGCTGGGCATTTGTTGCTCCGTGTTGTATACAGCAGTGCTTTAACTTCTTTACAAGACTCAGTAACAGTTGGTTCCGCTAAATAACTTCACGCAAACCAAATATAACCTAAACTACCTAATCGTACCCTAACCTAACCCCCCAGGTAGCGTTAGGATGGTAAAATCTTCAGGTGAAATAAGCTGGGGTGTCTAGTCACCACGTGATCTAAATTGGGTTAAATTGGGTCCGGTTAGATTAAGTTAGAACTTTTATCCTGGCCTGAATAAGGTTAGAATAGGCTAGGTTATGTTATGTTTAGACTACGTTAAATTAAGCCAGGCTTCACTAAGTTGGTTCAGGCTTTGATCAGACTACATTAGGTTGGTTCAGGCTAAGCCGAATTACCTGAAGGTGAGCATCACGATGGTTAATCTTAAGGTGAAATAGGCCTCTTCTACCTCAAGGGCAATTTATGGGGTAGATTATGGGGATCCCCGCGCCGACTGTTAGCAATATATCGATCTACTCAGCCACGAACTTCTGTAATTTCACTAGCAATTAAGCACTTTTCTACTTGGAAATAACTACTGATTTGTCGCTGTGATGAATGGTGAGTTTTAGTTCTTAATTTTTGTAAAGTGGATTTTGCATGTGATTAATAATTATATCAATTACTGTTTAAGAGTCTTTGTACATGTAGCATGATCATAATAAAAAATAGACATATGAAGTCTAGGCGATTGAATCATAACGCAATAAGGTGAAATACTTAATAATGACCTTAGAATATGTCGTAATATCCAATGTATATGGCCTCAAAAGTCCCTAAACTCGTTCAAATTTCTGGTTACGGTCATGTCTTATAAATTTTATTTCACATATTTTTAAAATGTTGTTAAATTTGTTTTAATATTGTAATTACTCACCTTGTTACGTGTTTAAAGAACTTCGCTGTTGAAACCCAGTAGTAACACAATCAACAACATGGTCTTCTCATTACCATACACAATCATCTACTCACCCACCACTGTAGGCTCGAGGTCAATGAACACCGCCCTGGGCACGTGCTTTCCCATTCTGGTCTCGTTGAAGAAGGTATTAAACGAGTCGTCCGCTATGTAGGGTTGATTTGGCTCTGTCTCATCCATTATCATGCCGCCATCAGCTTGGATGCCGTGTTCCAGGCAATACAGCTCCCAGCACGCGTTGCCCATCTGCACCCCAGCCTGACCCACGTGCATGCTGATACATTCTCGCTGTGGTCAGGGAGCAAAAACACGCTTGGTAGTGATATGAGAGGGAGAGAGATGCATTATTATTGGCCCTTATCACTCATACATCTGGCCAACCTATATTTAAGGCTTCCCGAGGAGTTCGAGTAAATGATGATGTTCGGTAACTTGTTCCACTCACCCACAGTTCTATTTCCATATAAACATTTTCCTGTGTCTCACCTAATCTAAATTTGTCTAAATTAGAGCCATTGCTACGAGTTCGCTGCTTTCTTTAACCCCATCTTCCATTTATAATCTTCCACTATATCGTCTCTCAAAAGAATACAAATTCGTATTTCTTAATCTGTCTTCATGCTCAAGGTTTCTAGTGTCCGGGATTAGCCTTGCCAGCCTCCTCTGAATGTTTTCTAGAGAATCGATATCCATTCTCTAATACAGTGTCCAAATGTAAACCGCATAATCCAAATGAAGTCTTATTAACGTGAGATTTAGTTTATAACTCGTTTGTCCTGTTATTAACACCCCTTGATATAAACACTAATACTTTGTTAGCCTTGTTTTGAACATAAGCGCATACTGCCTTAGTTTTAGGGTCTTATATTTTTAATTACCTCTGATTCACTCACAATCGGATTTCTACATTATCTGCGTTGTTCGGGTGACAGCAGGTTCCCGTTTCCATTCCCTAGTCTTAGAACTTTAAATTTTTACACATTAAACTGTACTCCCATTTTTCAGTCTATAGTATATTTTTTTTATGTCTTCCTGTAAATGATCGGAGTCCTCTTCAGATTTTATTTCATGCCCTATTCTTGAATCATCAGCAAATTTACTTGTGCTGCAATCAACACCTGTATATAATAAATAGAACGTTCTAAGTACTGACCTTGGGGTACGCCATTAGCGACGTTACCCCCAAATAAATTTTTTACCATTAATGCTGACTGTTTCCTGCCCGTTATCCATGTCATAATCCAATTTAGAATACCCCCCCCCCCCCAATACCACGTGCCTAAACTTTGAACGCTGGTATTATCGATTTAGAGAGAGAGAGAGAGAGAGAGAGAGAGAGTGTGCGTGCAGCAGTAAAGGGCACAGTGACCCAGTAGGTTATAAGATATTTATTGTACCACAAGTGTCCGGCTTCCATGACTACCACCTGTTTAGGGGAGAGAGAGAGAGAAAGAGAGAGAGAGGATTACTCGAGGTTAGGTTAGTGTTAGGTTAGCGATAGGTATGATGTTCTTAAACTTCAAATGATTTCTTGAATGTTACAAGGCTAATATTTATCTACAATGGTGATGAACTTGGTGTGTTTCACGAAAAAAAAATCTGTTTTGTGAACTTGGGTAAAAAAAATGCATGGAAAGTTTGGTTTTAATGTATCCAACACAAAGATCTCATGATGACTAAGAGCCCCAGCTTATTTAACATGTTCAATTAACACTAAATGGAGGCTTAAATTAGGTTAGGTTAGCATTAGGGTGTTCAGGCAGCCTAGGCAGGTAAAATAAGCAGGTGGTTCCTAATTATTAAAGAGACTAATTAAAATCATAACATAAATGAAAAATGATCTTTGGTATAGAGCGTTGCTACAATTATGAAAAATATTTAGGTCAAGGGAGTAGTAGTAGCCTGGTAGTCAAGGCAGCCAGCGTAAACAAGTAGCAATACAGGGAGGTGACAGCCGCCCGCCCCCTCCACCCACCATTGAACCATTCCAGCACACATCTTCCCACCAATATAATACAACAAACAAAACCTCAACAATTACTTTTATGTTCCGTTAGCTTGTTAGGTTAGGTCAGCGTTATTTTGTTCACGAGGCTTCACATGAGTTAAATGTTACCAGCGAAGGAGGGGGTGAAAAACCAGGCAATTTATTGATTAACTTTAACAAATGGCGAAGGTACACCGCCCCACACACATATTACTCTACTGCGGTTCTTATATTCTGTTGTGGGAGTGTACACTAGCTTGGTCGGTTAACTTTATATTGTGGATTATTAAAGACACCCCCAGCCAACTAACGTAACCTAACCCATCAAACATTTCGTAATCTAATCTAACCTACTTATCACAACCTTACCGAACTACCTAACCTAATATTAACATCACCTACCTTTACCTAGCTATCTAACCTAACATTAACCTAACCTAATCTGACTTCCTAACTTTCTTACATCGCTTATCTACTGTAACGCTGCTTAACCTAACAGGGTATTAAGAGTATAATTTATAAAAATTGGCATATCGAGAATTTTCTTTAATGTCAAAGTTGTACTGTCAGTTACATATTTTTATTATTGAGAAACGCGAGGATCAATTTTTTGCTTAAGGTGTCTTGAGCGGTTGCCATACTGTGAGGGCCTTACTTATTACCTAAGTAGGATGTGTTGTTTCATAACTGATCTCCGCTATTGTACACAATTCACCGCAAGATTGTGCTCTATATAGGCCGTACCCCAAGGCTCAGTACTTGGACCATTATTATTTATTATTTACATAAACGACATAGTACTGTAGTGTATATTTTTACCAATTAGAAAAATATTACTTCATATTTTTACCATTAACTATGTTCCTATTCACATTGCATTTTCAAATATACAATTAATATTATCAGACATTACGAACACGACATATATATTGTTCTGGAGCAACACACTGAGGGTTTTTTTTATTATAGATTAGGCTACATCTTTACTGGATCACCTGCAGATTAGTCACTCCAGCCTTTTTCATCTGATCAAACACCATAACGCTGCTTGTGGTGGTGGGGTGAGGATATTTAATCATCAGATCATCAGGCGATACTGTCTTTATCTGCCCAGTGATTTACTTTAAAAAACTATTTGTAAAGCATCAGATAATTGGCAGTACTATGACCTGACCTACAACCTCACCAACATGTGTTTCTCCCTCAGCTGAAACAATCGGGTACCAGGATACTATAGGAGATGTTGACACTTTATTTTATCGTAACATGAGGTAATAACACACCTAGTTATGTTATAGATGGTGCAGCTTTAACGTGGTGGAAAAAAGGAGGCAGAGAGATGTATTCCAAGGACCCCAGCCAGTCTTAGAGAATATGAGTCCTGGGACCACATTCTCAGACTCGTATAAAACTTACCAACAACTGAGGATGAGAGAGTGTTTCTGCCTAGCTCTTAACTGACGTTGAAGTTACAATGCACTTTAACAGATAAGGTCTTTAAGCGTGTAGACTAGATTCGTAATTACCCAAATCACTAACAAGTACAAATTACTAAACAATAAACTGACGCATGATGATATTAGACAAATATGATGTCGAATCAAACACGAGACTTCACTAAAAATTGATGTGATCTGATATACCCAGTTAGTAGAGAAATAAGGCATTAAACAGAGGTAAGGTGGCTGCTACTACACACCCCCACCTGCGAGTCTCAATAATTCACCAGTAGACTGACTGGTCGAAGGTTGTAACTACTTTATTTAGTACCAGTGCTTGTTGAGGTTTGCTTTGCTCCAGCGCTTGTTGACCTGCATAACTTACATGAACTCGCTTCGTACTCAGGTCAAACCCCTATTTTTTTTATAATCACCTGAAGATTAAGCATCCAAGGTTATTTCACCTTATGATTAAACACCCAAACCTAGCCTAACCCCATTGGTACCATTAGGGTGTTTAATGAAATAATCTGGGATGTCTAATATTCAGGTTATCCTTTCTATTATTTTAACCATTTTTAAAATGAGAATAAGGTATACCTTAGAGTCTAAGCCTTAGACGATTGTGAGATAGGAAGAAACTGGTTCACAAACAGGGTGGTGGACGAGTGGAACAAGCTTAGCAACTTTGTAGTAAGTGAGGGAACTCTGGAAAGTTTCAAAAGGAGGCTAGATAGATTCATGGATGATAGAGAGTGGTAGTAACTCTCGACAGGAGCTGCCATGCACAGGCCAACCGGCCTATTGCAGACTCCTTATTTTCTTATGTTCTTATAACTACCTACAGTTTTCAGTTGCGGTTGCCAATTGATAAAAACACAGACTTAATGTTTACTTACACCTCCGCTGACCATCTTGTTAACAGTATTGTGGTTTTCTGAACTTCACCTGACACAATGATCCCAAGAAACAACCAGGTATTACTCAGGTTGAAGACCTTAAGATCAGAACTAGTTGCTGGTGCGCACGTGTTGATGGGTGAGCACGCCAGTGACTTGTGTGTTGCTCCGCCGACCCCCACCTGGCTTCCAGCCCTCAGATACGCGCCAGCCAATCACATATCTCTCTAGGCACTTCCACCAATCAATGGCCAAAGGGCAAGACCTATAAGCGCGGCTTGTGGCGTGAAATTCTGCATTCCTTTACTAGTTTCTTCGTATTTGCAAAGCTCACTCATCTCCACTAAAATTTTGATGCTACTAGATATTTCTCTGAAACCGTCTTCGAAAATCATAATGTACTATCGACCTGAATTTAACATAATGCACAACAATACTACCATGGGAAAACTTTCAATAACTACGTTTCATAATACAGTATACATACTGTAAATTAAAAAGTGGATTATGGACGAATGTGATGCTTCGTTGGAATCACCTGAAGATTAGGTAGCCCGGCTTATTTCACCTGATGATTAAAACACCCAACATTATCGACGGGTGTTGGTTGGGTTAGGCTAGCGTTAGGGTGTTTAATTATCAAATGAAATAAGCTAAGATGTCTATTCTTTAGGTGATCCACTTTGTCGTCATGGTAACTTGCATCATTGCGGTCATAAGCATATATTATACCTTCAAATATAGGCTACAAATATAAATATACGAAGTAAGTTTTACTTGAAATAAAATGTAGAGGTCGGAGGCAGCGAACAGGTGAAGTACGAAGCGGGCTCGAGTGATGACGTCAGCAGAGCCCCCCCCCCTGCCCGAGTCTCCTTGTTCTTGACACGTTGACCCCAGTCTGACCCTGGCCATTTGTGTGTACACACCTGTCTGAGGCAATCAATATAATATTTTGTTACGCGGAATTAATTTATGTGACCCAGTTAATGCTCTGCTTACTAGAATAATTGAAGTAGTGATAACAATGAGAGTAAAAAACCCACTGTTGAAAGGCCTTAACAAGTTTCAGAAAGGGGTAATATTATCATCTATGTCACTTATAGGGTTGTACAAAATGCCCCAGAAGTCTTTCAATCTTGAATTCATTCTAACTAGAAAACTAAATCAAGACTGTCTGGAGCATTTGTTTGGGTGCACGAGACAGATACATGGAACCTACGACCATCCAAATGATGTGAATTTAAGTTCAGACTCAAGAAGTCAATCCTGGGAAAAAACGTTTCACTAATTTCTGAGAAATCCAACACAACAAATGATAATTTTGACTGCTTGTCAAGAAATATTGGTCTTAGACAAACAAATGATAAAGGTACACCTTTCAATGAAAGATAGCTGGCAGTTAAACTCTATATAACTAATCACTTTATCAAAGACTAGGATATTGGCAATGAAGTAGAAAAAGAGTTAAGTGATGAGTTTGATGAAAACCTAGGAGAGTGTATAAACCCTGACGAGAATGACGGTAAAGCAATAGATTTAGTCATAGAAGAGGAAGTTCTTAGGTACGTTGGTGGCCCTATTGTAAGAAGGTTTTGCGTGAAATATCCTCACTTAGGCCAGAAAGTCACTGAGTGCACATCCATAACCAAAACATGGACAGAAGAAATAAACAGAGGTGAATTGTATGTTCCTTCTGACACTATTAACCATTATGAGAGACGTATTGAAGGCTGTACATGGGGACAGTCTTACGGAGGGGAAAGACTGTTTCAAAACAATTGTGTCTGGGATAGAGAGTTGATGTACCTTCTTTGCCAAAATATCTGTGTTCTTTAGAATTCTGAAACTAAACAGTAGTATTAGGATAAATAAGAAAAAAATAAGAATTGCAGTAGTGAAAATATAAAATTTATGAAACTCAAAATGATAGCGGACGGGCCAGCCAGCTATAGCTCCGGTGACTTCACTGCGCAGAGGGAGCATAAACTAAACCGCTGTACGTCCGACCTCTCTACATTGACCTTGGTCATATCTTACGCCTATAACTTTAAGTATTCTTGTTTTTCTGCCATCCTTATGACACATCTTAGTCCAAATATAAATTAGCGGGATTTTGAAACCAGTCAGTTTGAAACATTATAATAACATTGGTTCATACTACTGGGTCATGATGTACATTAATGAAGGGAACAGTACGACCTTTAGCTAAGAAATCGATTGTTTCTGTATCATGCAAAGTTGCCCACCATCACCAAACTGTGTCGTGCCGCCATACTAGTTACTACTACTACTACTACTTTACTGTCACTCGGAATCGAGTATGACGATCATTCAACTATAATGAAATGATAGGAGTTATTAAAGATGTCGCCTTCGTTGGTGAGCTCTAAGGTGACTCGAGAGGCAGCAGTACAACGAAAGCGATTAATGGCATCAATCGCCTTATGTATGATGAACGGCAGCAGTACGACGAAAAACATAATGGCCACAATCGCCTCGTGTATGATTAATGGCAGCAGTACGATGAAAGCAATCAACGGCAGCAGTGTGGCAAAAACGAAAAATGGCCACAATTGCCTAACGTACGATTAACGGCAGCAGTAGGGCGAAGACGAATAATGGCCACAATTGCCTTACGTGTGATTAACAGCAGCCGCGTCCAAGCTGGGTGCTGCTGCCTCCTCAAACCTACCACCCCACACCACGCAGGCTGTGTTAAGCCACGGCACATTTTTCTCTCACAATAATTCCCTTTCATCCTCCCTTTAAACTTCCACTGAACCTCCTTCACCCCTGTCACTAGCCTTTGATTGATTGATTGAAGGACTGAAGGAGGCGGGACCAAAAAGAGATCTTATGAATCTCACAATATACTCGGTTAAAAGGTAATGGTAATGACATAAATAAATAAATATATATATATATAAATATATAAAATATATATATATATATATATATATATATATATATATATATATTTTTTATATATATATAAATAAATATATATATATATATATAAATATATAAAATATATATATATATATATATATATATATATATATATATATATTTTTTATATATATATATATATATATATATATATATATATATATATATATATATATATATATATATATATATATATATATATATATATATATATATATATATATATATATATATATATATATATATATATATATATATATATATATATATATATATATATATATATATATATATATATAATAATAATAATAATAATAATAATTAACGGTTTATTGAAAGAGCTTGGCAGCCAGAAGGCTGAAAATATACAGTTACATATTTGGGGAATGGGTTACGAATTACAAATAATATACAAGTGACATAAGTGACACAAATAAGACATATAGTAACTTAGATGGGGATCAGCTCAAAATACAGTTCATTTCAACATAGTGACAGTGTAGGGAGCAGTGTTTACTGGGAGTGAATACACTGATTTATTACATGTTATTGATAATTTTTACAATGGTTGGGACTGGGCTGTTCTTATAGCGATCAGTTCGTGCACGTATGGGCTGGATGCGGTTGTGGTGTCGAACAGCAATTCTCGGACAGGGGATCTCAGGTGGTAGTAGGGGCCGGTGTCGGGGATGGTGTAGAAGCTTCTTGCCAAATTTGCAGATGAGGTCGTGGTGATGGTCAGTGAGAGTCGAAAGGGTCAGTGTGTTGAGCGCTTCTTGATATGTGGAGTAGGAAGGGGAGAGAATAATCTTGCATGCCCTCTTTTGCACTTTTTCTAGGTGTTTACGTTGTGTGGCATTTAGGGAGGAAGACCAGGTGGGGGAGGCATAGGTGAGCTTGGGAAGTATGAATGTTGTGTAAACACTGAGGAGCTCGGGTGCAGGAACTCCGAGGGACTTGAGTCGGCGGAGGAGGTGGAGACGGAAACTGGAGGATTTGACAACTTCACTGACGTGTGGTTTCCAATTTAGTTTGTTGTCTATGGTGACGCCGAGGAGCTTCGTGGAATCTACAACCTGGAGTGTGTTCGGACCTAGGGTAATGGAAGGAGGTGGGACAATGTCGGAGGAGAGGTTGATGTGCATAACCATTGTCTTGGTATGGTTGATGGTGACATGGTTGTTGGTGGCCCAGTTTTGGAGACTGTTCAATAAATCCTGAAGGGCGGTATAGTTGGGAGCGGAATTGTTGACGCTGATCCCAATGGTGGAGTCGTCGACATATTTCCAGCGAGCAGGGGCTTCTCTTAGGGCATCATTGATGAGCATAAGGAAGCAGAGTGGTCCCATCTTGGTGCCTTGGGGGACGCCACAGGTGAGTGACTGAAAGGTGGAGACAGCCCCTCGGAAGCGTACAGCTTGGCGTCGGTCACTGAGGAAGTCTGTAAGCCATGGTATGAGACTTCTCCGAAGCCCGAGGTCAATAGCTTTGTTTATGATTATATTGTGGTCGACTAGGTCGAACGCTTTAGTGAAATCAATGAAGGCGACAGCTACAGACGTTTTTCGTTTCTCGAGATGGCGGTATATGTAATCGAGAAAGCTGACAAGACAGTGAGTGGTGGAGGAAGTTTTCATGTTGCCAAATTGCTGAGGGTCTACGACTCCTGCAATATCAGCATAAGCCCAGTCAAACACAAAACTTTCACAGATTAGGCTGGGTATTGGGGTGATTGCAATAGGTCGTAGCTGATTTAAGGATTGTGGGCTGGTTGACTTGGGCACTGGTGATACATAAGAGGTCTTCCAGTCAGCTGGGCATCTGGCTTGACTGAGAGAAGCATTGATGATGGAGCAGAGGGGTTTAGCAAGCTCCGGGGAGAACTCCTTGAATAGTTTCATTGGTAAGTCAATGGGGGTGGTAGAGCGTTTTAATTTTAGTTTGTCCAGGCGTTTTGCTACGTCAAATTCCTCTACTAAGTCAGTGGGAAGGGGGGCTGGTAGGTAAGCAGGGAGAGTGGTTGTGTCAAGCCGTGGGAGCGTCTGGCATATAGTAGCGAAATGGTTATTTGTTTGCTCAGCTGCGTCAACATTAGTGAGGTGGCTAAGGAAGGGGAGGGGGTGTGTCATATTGTTTAGTCCACAGAGTTCTTTAAGCTTACCATACCATTGACTGATGTTGGTCTGCTTCAGGTGTTGTAATTTGGTTGGGTAGTGGGACTTCTTT